GGTGGCGCAGTGGTTGAGGGTCCGCCTGCCGATGCAGGGGACACGGGTTCGTGTCCCTGTCCGGGAGGATCCCGCATGCCGCGGAGCGGCTGGGCCCGTGAGCCATGGCTGCTGAGCCTGTGCGTCTGGAGCCTGTGCTCCGCAGCAGGAGAGGCCACAACAGTGAGAGGCCCGTGTAACGCAAAAACAAAACAAAACAAAAAAGATGCTAACTTAAGTGAGAGATACAGCATCACATAAAAAATTTCTTCAAACCAAATACCCTAGGATATGCCAAGAGAAAATAGAATAGGGAGAAAAACACAAAATAAGGCAAGTAGGGGAGATACTGGGTTTTGAAGGAGCCGGCTACTTGGTTCTGGCCTGAGGAAGAATCCTCCAGGCAGAAGGAACGGTTCTTCAGACAGCACGGTCTAGACTGCAGGTTCTGTTCAGCCAAGCAAACCAACAACTGCGGGTGGTGGCACATGATGGGCAAGTGCAGATGGTGAGAAGCCTTGAATGCTACTCTACAGAAAGGACCCAGGGCCCTCTACTAACAGGATCTCAGCTCAGTTTCCGTTGGGTTAGAGAGGGTATAAAGAGTGAGCAACAGAAAAATGACCAGAAGCAGCTCTAAGTTGGAGGATATGACTTGAGAGAAGTCAAGAAGGATGAGTAGAGAAAGGGTGGTGACCGTGTGGCCAGGGTCCTGGGTAAGTGAGAGGGAGGGGTCCAGGGTGTGTCCAGGATCTGGACTGACTGCAGGTGGATGACGGTGCTGCAGGAGGAGGGGCTGCAGCAGAAGCAGGCTGACCATCAGGGGACCAAGACGGGCTCATTTTTAACATCTAAGTGAAATCCAAAGAGTAAGAAAAGTAACAGCATGAAAGCGTCCATTGATTTGGGACGTCCCTGGTTCCATTCAACCCACAAAATGTTAACCGCCATGCCTGAGGCCCTGGTGAGCTAAGCAAGAGAAGCTTCAGGGGAGCGGCAGGGTGTAGGTGCCCGAGGGTGGACACGGGATGAGCGGTGGCCAGGGAGAAAATACTGGAGCCCTCAAGAAACTTGGATGCTACCGGCCAGCTCGGGCCACGAGAGAACAACGTGAGAGACTTTAAAGTAAAAGAGATGTGTGTGCAGTGATGCTGCAAAGAGATGTTCTGGACTGGATCTTGGAAGAGGAAAAGGACATTAGTAGAAAAGGTAGTGAAATTTGAATAAAGTCTGCAGTTTAGTGACCACTGACATACCAATATTAATTTCTTAGTTCTGACAAATGTCCTGAGGTCATGTAAGATACTAACCTCAGAAGATAGTGGGCAAATCATATACAGGACTATCCCTGTACTACATTTGCAACTTTTCTCTAAATCTAGTTAATCCAAAATAAAAAGTTTACTTACAAAAAAAGAAATAAACCTAAGAACAGCTATTCCAACAATACCACCCGCAAATGGAAGTTTTTAGTGTTCAGGAATTTCTGAATTTATTTTTTTAATATTGGCTGACTCTAACGTGATTACTAATTGTAAAAAAAATACTTGGAAAACGTAGAAAATATACTTTTTATCTCACAGCTTGAGAAATAACCATTTTTAACATCTTTTATCTCATGTATAGATATGAGATTTTTTTTAAACCATCACTGAGACTAATCCCTGCTGGTGGGGGGGGCGGGGTCCCCTTAATGTTTTATCATAAGTTTTCCCTTCCATATAATTTAAAGTTCTTCAAAAGCATTTACATGACTACACAACTGTCTACACAAAATTGTACCACAATGCTTTACCTATTCCACATTTGTTGGACATTTAGATTATTTCCAACTTTTCTCCATTTATAAATAGTACCATGAGTATCATATGCATAAATTAAATGCTCATGCTTATTTCATTAAGTAATTCCAAAAAGTGGAGTCCCTGAGTTGAAGGAAATGTTGACTTAACATTTTTAATAAATACTATTAATGTGTCCCCCAAAACAATAGAGCCAACTTATACTCCCAGGAGCAATGTACAGAGAGCTATTTACAGAGAGCTAGTTCCCTGACCCACCAGCAATGGGGCATTAGCACTTTGTTGACTGTTAATTTGGTAGGTTAAAAAATGTTCATCGTTGCTTTTAAATTTGTCTTTCTTTGTTTTCTAGTGAGACTGAATATATTTAAACATATTTGCTTTTTAGCTACTTTCATTTCCTCTTCCATGAATTACTTAGTTCCTAATGCCGTTTGCCTGTTTTTGCACTGATATTTTAGCGTATCTGGTTATTTTTTCTACTTCCTTTATCTATTTTGGACCTTCTGCAAGTTGTAGCTGTGGTAAATACTTGCCAGTTTATTTCCGCTTTAATTTTATTTATTATGAGGTTCTTTGGCGTACACAGTTTAATTTGGATGTATATATATCTCATATTCCTTTATAATTTCTTCTACTGCTTTTACAATTATAGAGACCTCACAGTCCTAACATTAAACCAAAGAAATATTAGCGTTAGTTTAAAAGAGCACTTAAAATTGTGAAGGGAAAAAGCCAGATCACTTGTCCGACTGACGAAATCAGTTGTTTTTATTTTGGAGACTTCAAATGTAGAGGTCTGGGATTATATAGTGATTGACAATACTAATTCTATAACCCCCATCATACATAATTATTAATAAATAATTCTTACCGAGACAAGTCTTCTCTTAAAGGTATCTAAGACAGTTGGTAAATTTTTTGAATAATATAGGAATAATATAGCTGAGAGTTTCCAAAAGAACCAAAAAATTAATCTCATGGCATGACTATGTCAAGAAAAATTTAGTCCAGCCAGTCCCCAAGGACACAGAGGGCCATACGAGACACGCTTATACTTTAACTATTAGCAGTTACTCATCCCATCCCACTTCTAAGCAAGATTCCAGTTTTCTCTACCTTAGTCTTAACAGCTACAGAGAAGGGGAAATGATCAAATAGAAAGGCCACAGGCTTTAGAACTTGCTAGATGTGGGCTCAAACCCTAGATCCACCACTAACTAGTTAGTTTCACCCTAAGCAAGTCAAGTGGCCCCTCAAAGCTTCATCCTCTGTAACACAGAGGTCAATGTTAGTGACAGAGATTGGGCATTCAATAAATTAGTTTGTAGTGATTTTCAAAGAAATGCCTTGCTCGTTGTAAAATCGCTACAGAAATTGTTTATTTTTCAATACCATTTTCTGTTCACATATAAATATGTATGAGTACACAGTTTTTGTTTTTCTTTTATTATTTTTAAGGCCTAAGGTAAGTGACTCAATCTATTTTTTTTAGTAAGCAGCCTACAGAAAAGATTAAACTATTTCCAGGAACTATAGGAGGAAGATCCCCATTATAATACTAAGACAGGAGGCAATTTAGGGAATAGTTTCCTTTATCGCATTAAAAGTAGTAAAAATATAAATCCTCAAAAGCCCCTCGAATAATTCAACTTGTATTCAACAAGCAGTTTGCAGCATCTGTATACACAAACCAAATCTCATCCTTCTTCTAAACATTTAGCGATGTTCCACAGCTGGGGAAAACAGCGATGACACCAGTGTCAGATCTGGAGAAGAATAAGCCACAGGATGACACTTTGGGGAATGGACCACTAGCTACAAAATAAGTCTGGCAAAGGAAGGACAACAGCAAAAAGCTATTTCCTAGTAAAACTGAAAAACTACTTAAGATAAACATGTAACTGGCTACAATGAAAACTATAAATACTAAATTACTAAAAAAAATCTTAGTTTTGAGGACTGAATATTTTTAATTTGTTGGCTTAAGTCTGCTTTTCTTTTCCTAGAATAAATGCTTCAACTGTAGAATAAGAGAATCTAAAACAATTTACATTAGTGTGGAAAATATAGCTGCAGGGGAGAGACAACAACATAATGAATCACAACCTCTTTCTGAGAAGAAAAACAATTGTTTTTTTTTAAAAAAAACCCTGCTGTTGGGACCAGGTACAGTCCAAATTTATTTCTAGAATTCCAGTGTTGCATAACTGGAGTGTATTTCAATGAAACTGAACATCAAGTTACATAATTGTCAAATTACTGTGTTCTATTTTGCTTTTTCAGCAAAGAACATGATGGGACTTGGGGTGACAGCAAAAGAAGAAAAGAAATTTAAAGCAGTATATTTAGCTTCTAATAGAAAACAACTTTTATTTTTAAAAATCATTTAGGTAGAAGATCACAAATTTTCAATATTGCGTGCCAAGACTAAGCATTATATATGGTCTTTAAAAACCTCAAATCTTGTTTGTCATTTTTTAAGATATTTTCAGTTGTTTCCATTATTGGAGGGAAAGAAAGTTAAATACTTATGGTGCTTTAAAAGTTCATTAGAGGAGAATTACCAAATTTACATGCTTCTTTCCCACCAAGAGTAGCACAAATGTTGGACATTCAACTATATTTTACAGAAAATTTAGTAACACCTGCCTGCTTGTATAGCAGTAATCACAATATATATGGAATATATATTCCAGGGAAATAGCATCTGCATTTGCTGATTTAAATTTAAATCATCAGAGAATTAGTTGAATATTAGAAAGCTGTTATCTAAAACCTACGGATGTATTAAAAACCATAATGAGGGACATTTATCTTGGAGCAAATGTACAACCTCCTGTAAAACATGACTCCAATAGAAGAGTACGAATGCCATCATTAGAAGATTAAACCAATCGGGGAAAAGCTTAAACAAAGAATTATAAACAAACTAAGCAGCATCATTCGTTTTCTTGTTCACAGGGAAAGTTTACAAATCAGTTCTTTTTTCAAAGGCAAATAAATGAGTTAAGAGCTTCAGACTTTCTTGATATACATATTTGCAAGTCTTAGATGACACTGATGAAGTCTACAGGGGAGCATGTGACACTGTCAACTAGCGATACCATTATTATAGATTTAAATTAATAAACCTAAACCAACTGCAGCTATCTAATAAAAATGTCACTTAAAAGTAATTCATTATGAAGCAAAACTGTAAAGGGTGGTGACAATTACCGTGACTCAGAGGGGTCACACCATCCCTGGGCTTCTTTTCTTCTTCAGCTTGCTCCTAGAACACAGAAAATGTGGTTTAGACCCTGTTTCTGGGTAATTGTTTGAAACACTGAACACTGACTTCTCTGTTTGCTGGAAGCCAAGCCATGAGGAGCGCTGTGAATGGAGGGGACCTACATCAGCAGCCAGTGCCCGGCGGCAGGGGGAGGGGGGATGGGGGGTGTGCCACACCACCACCCATTCGGACGTGGGAGGAACCCTTTGTTATTGTCTTAATTCTCTGTTGGCTCAAATATGACAGAAAGGAAGGTTCAAAGGCAGGCCGAGGGAAGAAGGGCGTCCCCTGCCCCCGCCAAGCCCTCCATCCTCCCCCGGCTTGCAGCCTGCTGGCACCTGCTACAGCTTATGAGGCTCAGTTAAGGTCCAAGTTTAGCCCAACCAACCCTCACAGAATGGACAAATGCCTTCAGAGATCCCTGCGAAGAAACCACAAACACAAGCGACCCTGAGAAGGCAGAGCTTCTGTCCACGGAGCCAGCAGTGCATCAGGCCAGGCTCACAGCAACTCCTGGAGGAAAGTCGACCATTTAGCCAAGACTAAGAGAATCACTTCTTTTTTCAAAGATACTCCAAGAGCATTTGTCCAGATATGTGTCTTACTTACATAGTTTTGTGGCCATAAAAAAATGTATGCCCCCTATAAAAAAAACTCATAATAATTTTACACTTAAAAGTTGAGGGACAGAGTTTCCCAATTTTAAGATCTTTCAAATTAAGAGTTTCAACGGGCTTTCAACTCACTAATGGAAGTATAAATATGCACTACTTTTTTTTTTTTGCAGTACGCGGGCCTCTCACTGTTGTGGCCTCTCCTGTTGCGGAGCACAGGCTCCGGATGCGCAGGCCCAGCGGTCATGGCTCACGGGCCCAGCCGCTCCGCGGCACGTGGGATCTTCCCGGACCGGGTCACGAACCCGTGTGCCCTGAATCGGCAGGTGGACTCTCAACCACTGCACCACCAGGGAAGCCCAATACTTTTGAATAGTTTCCAAGACAAACTGATTGTCATCCAAGAAGATGAAAATGAGCAGCTGAATTACACAAAACCTTTGCATAATTGATGGATGATGCTGATAAAAAAGTATCAGGATTTAGTAAGTTTGGTCAACAATCATTTCCTACAGTTTATCCTGTAATTTTGGGGACATATCTTTTATTTTTTCATTCTTTTACATTTTATTCTTTATTTTTTAACATCTTTATTGGAGTATAATTGCTTTACAATGGTGTGCTAGTTGCTGCTGTACAACAAAGTGAATCAGCTATATGTATACATCTATCCCCATATCCCCTCCCTCTTGCGTCTCCCTCCCACCCTCCCTATCCCACCTCTCTAGGTGGTCACAAAGCGCCAAGCTGATCTCCCTGTGTTATATGGCTGCTTCCCACTAGCTACCTATTTTACATTTGGTAGTGTATATATGTCCATGCCACTCTCTCACTTTGTCCCAGCTTACCCTTCCCCCTCCCCGTGGCTTCAAGTCCATTCTCTACGTCTGCGTCTTTATTCCTGTCCTGCCCCTAGGTTCATCAGAACCAGTTTTTCTTTTTAGATTCCATATATGTGTTAGCATACAGTATTTGTTTTTCTCTTTCTGACTTACTTCACTCTGTACAACAGACTCTAGGTCCATCCACCTCACTACAAATAACTCAGTTTCGTTTCTTTTTATGGCTGAGTAATATTCCATTGTATATATGTGCCACATCTTCTTTATCCATTCCTCTGTCAATGGACACTTAGGTTGCTTCCGTGTCCTGGCTATTGTACATAGTGCTGCAATGAACATTGTGAGACATGACTCTTTTCGAATCATGGTTTTCTCAGGGTACATGCCCAGTAGTGGGACTGCTGGGTCGTATGGTAGTTCTATTGTTAGTTTTTTAAGGAACCTCCATACTGTCTTCCATAGTGGCTGTATCAATTTACATTCCCACCAACAGTGCAAGACAGTTCCCTTTTTCTCCACACCCTCTCCAGCATTTATTGTTTGTAGACATTTTTATCATTTTAAGCCAGGCCTAGGGTGACTGACTGTCCCAGTTTGCCTGGGACTGATCCGGTCACAGCACTGAAGTCCCATAACTGGAGGACCCTTCAGTCCTAGACAAACCAAGAGGGTTGGTCATCTAAGCTATGACAGCCATTAAAACTAAACCTAAAAAGTAGACTTCAGATAACAGGAACACAAGGCTTTAAAACAAGGTTTCAAAAAATTAATATTTTAATGAGAGCAAACTAGTTTTTAACTGTTAATCACTACTAATTTCATTTTTATATTGTACTTTTTGTTTCTTTTTTAGTCTATGGCTTTAAGGTAAAAAATACAATTTGTATAGTAGTAAATCATATAATTTTCCAATAAACAAATAATACATATATATCCAGATACGTGACTGAAGTTTCTTTATTGATGAGGTGAACAAACCAACAAGTCTGAAGATGACTGCGTCAGGCTGCCATTTGTTTATATAGTCATATAGAATTGATTATGATAGATTCCTTGAGATGCCTTAGTTTATACGTATAATTAATTTTATTTTTTGAGTTCACATTGTTCAAGGTAAAAATAAATAGAGAAACAATTAATACAGTGTAAACTCCCTTCCCACCCCGACCCATTCTCCCCCATCTGGCCTAAGTATAGTACCCCCACCCAGAAATCTTCGTTACTAGATTCTGAAATATCCTTGCAAAGTTTCCTTTATAAAAAAAGAGAATATATTTTCTTATTTTCTTGTTCTTGTGCACAAAGATAGCACTGTTTTCTACCTTTCTTTTCACTTAAAATACCCTGGAGGTCTTTATCAGGTTGTAAGAGCACGCTCCTTCTTTTTGCAGTTACCTGAGTGGATACCTCATGATTTATTTAACTGATTCCATGTTTATGGATGTCCAGGTTGTCTCAAATCTTTTTTCCAATCACATAACACTGTGGTGGAAAACCAGTACACAGAGCGTTTTGCATATGTGCCCGGATATATACAGAATGACTTCCCAGAAGTGGACCAGCCGGGTCAAACCAGACTTGTGTTTTCCTGCCAGGTCTGGCGCCCAGCAAGCCCCACTCAACAGCCCCACAGCCTCGGATCAGGCCCGTCTTCCCAGAGCCTTGCCCACAGGGTGTGATAGCAAAGTTCTGCATTTTTGCCAAGATGATGATGAAAAAAAATAATATCTCGCTATCGTTTTATTTGCATTTGTTCCATTATGAAGAAGCTGAAGACTGTATATTTAAAAGCCATTGTATTTCCTTTTCTGTGAAATATCTCTTTACATCTGTGGCCCATTTTTTTCTGTTGGAATGACTACTCATCTTTTGGTCTGGATAAATTAGGAAGATTAGTCCTTTGTCTACAATATGAGAGGCATTATTTATTTTTTCCTGGTTAGTCATTTCTCTTTTTCACTTCTTTCTTACAGTATTTTTAATATGCAAGGATTTTTGTTGTTTATTTTGAGAAATAAAATTATCAAACTTTTCTTTTATGGCTGCTATTGTTGAGATCCTTCTCTACTCCCACGTCATAAAAACCTTCTTCTTTGTGTATGTCTTTTACACTTATGGTTTATTTCTTACACTTAAATCTTTGACAAATTTGAATTTGTGCCGGGACATGGTGTGAAGTTGAGACATACTATTCTTACCCAGGTGGCTTGTCACCTGTCCCAAGACGACTTATGGGATGGTCCCCCTCCTCCCATCAGTCTAAGACCTGTGTCCTATACACTAAACCCCCAGGTGCATTTGCCTCTTCTGTTTCTTTAGTTTAGCTGTCTATCCAAGTACCAGAGCCACGATGCTTTACTTATTACAGCCTGATGTTTTGATATGCTTCCTGGGCTACTTTGTGTTTTAACCACAGTAAGAGGTCCTGTTCTGTACAAGTCTTAAGAGTCAGACAGCTGAGGGTTTACACCCCTGCTTCCCCCCTCACCAGCTGTGTGACCCTGGGCAAGTGATTTAACCTCTCTGAGTTTTGGTTTCCTAAATTGTGACTTGGAGGTAATGATATCTTGTTGACTGAATTGTTTTGAGGATTAGAGACACACGGGTAGAGCCACATGCCACATGCAGACTCTCAGTTAATGGCAGTTATCTATAGGTGTTTTGCCAGATTTCAAAATGTCAAGAGTGTATCAAGACTTAATCAAAATTAAGTTATCTTCTATTTGTTTTCTAACTGAAAAAGTGTATCTTGGATGAACAAGATCTCGGATGGAAGAAGAATCCTGAGGGAGGAGTAAAGAGGAATCTTAAAACCCTGAGTTAATTACTTATTTAAAGAATATTTATTGGGCAATTAATGTGCCAGGAACAGTGCTGGGTTTTAGGGAACAAATGGAATGCAATGTCCAGGGTTTGTGCACCAGCTGCCCTTCACTGGTCAGGTGTCTGCCGGCTGTTCTTGGCGGATGGAGGACAAAGTGAAGGTTGGGTGTCCCCGCCGTCCCCTCCTCCCCATCCCACTGTGCAGGGCCCGTCCTCCACACAGCTCGCTTGCACCGGCCTCCACCCCTGCACAGCCATCACCCTGCTCTCCAGGGCTTCCACCCCGCCCCCCGCCTGCCTCGCTCAGCCCCTGGCATCCAGGTCACTCAGTCTCACACACGACGACCAATGGACCCACGTCTCCCTCCATCAAGTTACAGACGTGCAGATCCCAGGTCCACTGTACGGCTTCATCTGGATGCCCTACAGGCTCCTGAAACTCAGCCAGCACAAAATTAGTTCCTCATCTTCACTGTAATGCTCTTGCATCCCCTGTTCAGAGTCCCCAGAACTCACTCTGCGGCTTCTGGGACCCACGCCTCGGTCACGCTGTCCGTCCCGCTCTCCCTCCCAGCCCCAGGGAAATCACCTCACGGTGGGCAGGATCCCCAGATGACCCCAAGGAGCCACCCCCAAGTCCCCTCCTCGTCACTTGCTTCTAGACCACAGAAAATGGCAGAGGTGATGGGATGGTCACCCCCTCGATTGCATTACAACGTAT